ATGTTGTTTTCGTAATTAAGGCAGGCCAAGATCGTAATTGCGATTTTAAAATATGAATAATTGCACAGCCCTAACTGAGATAACACAAACTCTCCTTTTAGTGCTGCAGAGATTTGCCCCAAGTGTTGGACCCTGATGACCATCGCCATTCGCGTCCTGGATAGAGCTCTTCGAGGTTTGTTTGTCATTCATTTTGTCTTGTGTCATTTTCTATTTTCTGCAGAACAGGTGTCTTAACACTTTTTGATGTATGTGATCTTCTAGATGACTTTGGTTTCCAGCATCTGCTGTGGGTTTATTCTGGCAGAAGAGGAGTGCATTGCTGGGTGTGTGATGAAGCGGCCAGGAAGCTCTCGGTAGCAGCACGCTCCGCAGTGGCTGAATACCTCAGCCTGGTTAAGGTAACAGTATTTTTAGGCTTTTAATAAGATAAATAAGACAGATTTATTTATGAGCAGTTGGGTTTAGTGTATCTGTCTGTCTCTTTCACGCCCTCATATCTCTGAAATATTTGCATCGGCATGGGGGTCAATAACACAAGATTGTGTGCTCTATTCACTGCTGTCTTTATAGGGAGGTGATGAGACGATGAAGAAAGTAGTGCTCTCAGATCCAATTCATCCCTTTATCAGGTAAGAAGCCAATCCTTTTATCAGTAAAGTCAATTTGAGGCTGTAACAGTTTTTCTGTTGCGTTTTTTGTGTATAATTACACCAACTGTTATTGAGGTTGTTGCCTCTGACTGATGTTGTTGCTTCAGCTGTTTGAAAGTCTCTACCTGTGATTTCCGCAGAGAGTCTTTGGTGGTGGTGGAGCGATACTTCCCCCTGTACGCACTACAGGACCAGGACATACTGGGTCGTAAGGAATCTGTGGACAAAGTGCTGGCACTCACACCTGAAGATATCCTTTTCAGAACATGCAGTAGAGCCAATAGCTGATGGAAAACACCACATTTTATTTCTCTCAAATCGAATGTGATTCAAACATGAGAGTATGATCTCTTCTTGTTCAACACACTATGAAAATAACTTTACCTGACCTTAACTCAAGCATTTACATGTAAGAAAACAGTTACAGCAGGCCTTTCAGAACGAGAAGAAACCGGAGAACCGTTGGATGCTGTTGGAGGACCAAGCCAAACGGAAACAGGTAATACTCCTCACTAGTCACTAAACTCATAATCTATCAATGTAAAAGGGACTCAGGGGCCATATTGAAGACGAGACATTTCTTAGAATGAATTACACACGAAAGCACAATGATTTAAAATGTTTTGATCAGTGTTCTACAAGGACAAGACTATGCAAATGGAGTAGCTTATTTTATGTTTGATAAACCCTAGAGTCATTAAGGTGGAGAAATAAATGACCACATTATATTTCTTATCCTAAGTTTTTATTACATACAGTCTCTTCATATTACAACGTGACTTTGATTAGTTTTTTCAAATATGACCACCATAGAGGTTGTTGTAAAAAGTCACAACAATGTAATCTTTCTTTCTAAAGGGCACTTCCAAAAAGGGCCAACACTTTGAGAAAGAGATCATGCTGCAGTATTGTTACCCCCGGCTCGATGTGAACGTCAGTAAAGGAGTGAACCATTTGCTGAAGAGCCCCTTCAGTGTCCATCCCAAAACAGGTAAGCCTAGATCTAATGTGATTGAATGTAGATGGCATGTTTATTAATGACAGTCTTAATGTAATTCTTGCCTTTTGAACTCTGGCCAGGCCGCATCTCTGTTCCCATCGACCTCAAAGAGTTGGAAACCTTTGATCCTTTTGCTGTGCCCACCATCAGGTTAGTGATAGTGAACTGTCCCATGCTTTGTTGTTGCAGTGATTGAAAATCGTCAGAGCTTATATCATAACTTTTTTTTAATTTTTTTTTTTAGTATGATCTGTGAGGAGCTGGATCGTCCCAGGACAGTCGAAGAGGAGGAGAAGTCAGAGGAGACAAATGACAAGGAAAACGAGAAGGAAGCAGCAGAGAGTCGAAAGATCAGAGGTGAGATTCTCAAATAACTCATCGTAGATTTCACAAATGACCATCCCTTTTTAAGTTACAGGCTAACACTGGGTCATTTTGCTCGCTTTTCCTGGTTCAAAATAAAGCTAAAGGGTCAAATCAACCATGACATGTTTTTTATAATGATTATCATTAGGACTGTACCAAATAGAACGCAGCTTAATATATATATATATAATGTTTAAAATCAACATTTTAAATGCTGCCCAGCTTTTTTAAATGTTTGCATATCTATTAGTTATGTTCAAATGTGTTATTCCCGCACAGATAAATATTAGGCCACTCAAATATTATTAGTATAATACTTTTCTAGAATTAGAAACCAGTGGTGGCTGCAAAGCATTGTTTTCAACTTGTGTGAAATAACTACAGATCATTGTAAAGTCCAAAAGTGAAAACTAATTAAAATAAAAACGGAAAGGAACACATTTGCCCTGTAATCAGAAACAGTTTGCTCTCCCAGCACACAGAGGGAGGCGACTGAGGACTTTTCATTTAAGAAAGTTGATTTAAAAAAACAAAAAAACATTTTCCCCGGAAATGTCATAAGGTGTAATAAGAGACATTCAAAGCTCCTTGTGAAAACCTCACTAGCAGCTCACTGATTTCTTTTCTTGACAGATTACAAGAGAACAAGCCTGGCGAAATATGTGAAATGCTTTGATCAGTTTCTGGATGTGATGGCTCGCTCATGGAAAGGAGAACTTCTTAAAAAGAGTGGTAAGTTTTATTTTGCCTAGATTAAATAAGCGTCTCTATATGAAGTATGTTCTTTCATGTAATTATTTTCTTCTTCTGTTCTTTTAGATCTTCAGAAAGACTTTTGAACTGGATCAACGATCAGAAAGTGATACAGACAAAACATTGTTAATATTTCCCGATCACTAATATGGATGACGATACAAACGGTCCTGTGTTGGGGTGGGAAGTTTCTATTTTTTGATGTACAATCATTCCCTCCACTTAAGAACATCTCCTTACTGCAGGTTTTTTCTACTACATTACCAATGCTATGCTGTTTGTCTGCTTTTTTCTATATTCTTCTATTGTACAGTCATTTGTGAAAATAAATTTGGTATTTCAACTTTTTCAAAATCTTGTATTTTACTTAACCCTAACCCTTACTTTAAATGAGAACGGTTTGCAATATTTTTGCCAACAATTTTCACCTATACATATTTGTATATATTGTTATAGATTAAACTATTCAACCATTCTGTAAAGTTTATGTTGATTTTAGATGTTGTCTTTGTTTACATCAGTGATATCTGTAAGTACAGCATGAATAAAGAATTAACAATATGATAGAGTAAAAATACTCCATTACAAATAAAGGTCTTGCATTCAGAAGTTTACAAAAGCGCAGAAATATTACAATCAAAAATATTTACTAAGAATAATTATATACACACATGAATGAAGTTTTTTAAATCATAGTATCATCAAGATACTCACTGTGGTGTGGCTTAGCTTGAGGTACTGAAGCTCTCAGCGTGGTGTTCAGAGAACAACCTGGCACTGAACCCCACGAAAACCAAAGAGATCATCGTTCAGGAGGAATACTACCGACCTTGCTCCCCTCTACATTAACGGCGAGTGTGTGGAGAACGTCCACACCTTCAAGTTCTTCGGCGTCCTCATCATCAACAACCTTTCCTGGAAGGACAACACCACAGCTGTCATCAAGAAGGCCCAACAGCGTCTGCACTTACTGAGGGTGCTCAGGAAGAACAACTTGGCCACTAAGCTGCTGGTGACCTTCTACCGCTCTACCATCGAGAGCCTATTAACATACTGCATCACAGTGTGGTACGCCAGCTGCACTGAGGCCGACAGGATGAGGCTCCAGAGAGTTGTAAAAGCAGCACAGAGGAACATCGGCTGCCCTCTCCCCTCCCTGATGGACATTCACACCTCCCGCTGCCTCAGAAGAGCCAAAAACATTGTTAAGGGCAGTTCACACCCCGGCTTTCACCTGTTCAACCTGCTGCCCTCCGGCAGGCGCTACAGGTGTATCAAATCCAAAACAAACAGACTCAAAGACAGTTTTTTTCCAAGAGCCATCATTGCTCTTAACACCTGAAAGTCATACTCTTAATCATCCTGCATTTGAAATAAATGTGACTCTACATATCATTATTATTATAAATACATACCTACTATTATTATTTATTATATTATACATTTTATTTTTATACTCCTGGAAATAATTAATGCACTTTATTCCTTATTCCTAAGTATGTATGCTGCGTGTATTTGTTGTCTTATGTTGTGATGTTTTTTGTTTTGATGGCATCCTTGAAAGGCAGAAGCATTTATTTCTCTCATTGTACATGTATAATGACATTAAACGATTCTATTCTATTCTATTCTATAATTATGCCCAGTCTGCATGAGTTAACCAGATACCATACATTCAAGCAAGCCGGGACCATAATACAATAAACCCATTATTTTTAGAAAATCAACTAAAGCATTCTGGATTATTAGATCATAGTATAACAGAATAAATAAATCACACAGAAACGTTTCTATGTAGTTCTGAAATATCAGAGATACTATTGGCAAAGATAACACAAATAATTAAGCAATCATTCATATCATTTGATTATTTTACAACAGGTTTATAAGTAGTATTTTACTGGGATAGTATAGAGCCAGTTTTAACTTTGTATACTTATGGGTTTTTTGTTTATAATAGACAAATAACAAACATCGTTGTTTGTAAAGTCTTTATCTGTAAAGTAAAATACTGCTGTAACAGATAAATGTAGTTCAGTTGAGTCACATTTATATTTTACATGTGGTAGGATTTATAAATCTATATTTTTTGTAGAAGTCCAGGTTCTCAAAGATATATGTTAATGATTTACTATTATGTCAAAATTACGGTATTATCTTTTCTACAGTAAAAAAAATGACTTCCTGTGCCTTGAAGTGCCCCGGAAGTAGAACTCCCCGCTCTGTACCGGATATTACCGCGGGGCTGAGGTCAGAAGTTCTCTCTCACAGCCATCTTGGATATAGCATCCCGAATCGGTGAGTGTCTCCGTTCATAATCCAACATCATCCAGCAGTTTTTCACTTATTATCGTCTGTATTTGTGGTATTATGCGTTAAAGTAAAGTAGCAGTATCAGGCTGAGGTAGATATTTGCTTTTTTCGTCCCTCTGTAAAGCGATAAATGAGCCGTTGTGACGCCTATCAGAGGCTCAAAATGGGGGGACATTATGACTTCCAGTTTACCAGCAGCCTGTTAGGGCCGCAGTGAGCATATTGTCTGGTGCTGTTAGGTTTATTTGTGTCACCTTCAGATGTGGGTTTAAAAGGAAATGGTAGACTTTGTTAATCGCCGTAAGATTTTCTCCTGTTGAGGATGCCACCAGCTGTCAGCTAACCGAAGCTAACGTTAGCTAATGTTGCTTCAACAAGAGTACAGACGAAGCTAAAGCATGGGCTCGGTCACCTGTTCAGCTGCAAGTCACTCTCTAAATGGTTAACTACGCCCCAACTTTGTTGTCCGTTTTTACTTCAATGCATTTCTTTAGATAGTTTTGTTCAAGAAGGGTACACATAGGTTGATCACAGTTAGACACTTTTCACAGACGTACAAAACACACAAACTCATAACCATTCAATTAACATCTCTGGGTTTAACTGGAGGAGCTGTAAATACACCTAGTGGAGGGCAGCAGCTGGTATTCTCTGTTAACAACATTATACAAGTCTGAAGAGATGCAGTTAACAAGTTTGCCAAAAATAATATAAACATCATTATCTTCATACACCTTTGGATATGATTGCTTTCCATATTTAACTACGCTTAACAGAGGCTGACCATACTAGTGTACAGCAGGACTCTGAATAGCTGATTTAAAACTACTATCCTTGCTAATAGTAGTGATCCAGTACTGGCATGTATTAAGAGTTCCCTTTGAGTTAATCAAAATGTATTTTTATTTTCCCATACAGCAACCATGCCTGGTGAAGCAACAGAAACGGTCCCAGTCACCGAGCAGGAGATGCAGCAGCCTCAAGTGGAGACCGGTTCGTATATTTTTTACTTAACAGGCATGCTATAATGCATATTAAACAACGGGATCCTGGGTGTCCTGAAAGGGTCAGATTGCTCAACAAATGGCCCTCTACGGAAGGCAATTTGTTGAGTAAAAGAGCAATATTGCATTTTTAGGATAATTTGGCTCAGTGAGTTGACTCAGCTGGCTGGACGCTGAGTTGATGTAACAGGTGATGGTTATTTTGACCATCACCAGCCATTTGGTGGGACATTTTGTAAGGGAGGATTGCCCATTGAAGAATCTGCAGTGGTGATATTGCTCAGCTTGGCTTGAAAATGGTAATCCAGGACCCCTCTTTTTATTTACAGACTCACAATGGTGTGCGGTGACTTGCACTTACAACTGGATTTAGCACACAATGCATGGTGTTTAGTGTGGATTTCCCTTTGCACGATAAATGCCTTAAAAAACACTTTGTGTTTATCTGGGATTTGTATTTTTTTGTTTTTTGACAGACCAAGAAATAATCTAGGATAATTATTTACGTTTTCCAGCTGCTCATTTTTTAACGTATTGTTTTTTCATGGTAATATGGACATCTTTTGAAAGTCAGCAGTTGGCAATGCTTTTCTTTTGACCAAAAATGGGGCAATTACTGGTTAATAACATGTATAGATTTGTCTGTATCCATATTTGAGAAGACTCTTATCGTGGATGTGTTTGAGTTAGTTTTATATCAGGTAGGAGCAAGAAAATACTAACAATTCTTAAATGCACATTTCACATTTTTTTTTAAATTACACATTTTTGCTAATGTAGTTAATTGTGCACTTTTTTTGGTGCAACATCCCTTTTTTTTTGTAAAGATGACCAACAACACTAAAGAGCAGTTCAGGTGACGTTTGAAAGCAATGGCGCCATATTTCAATACTTGTGTTTGCCTCAATGGTAAGAGCTAATACTGATGTAACTTCACCCCCAAGTGGGTCAGCACTAGACACTTAAAATTAAAAGGCCCGCAGTTGTTTTGGGTTATTCTTTATAAGGATTGTGTGTACATTATAACACACAGCCCTCCTTTTCTGCTGACCGAAATGCTCTCATTTTTGGATAAAAGGGCGTGTATTGGCTTGCAAAGTGATTTCTAGACTTTAAGTAACACCTCCACAAAGCCTTTCATCAGTAAAATAAATCACACATGGTGAGCTGTCTAATTCAAGCATTTATGTTAGTAAATGGATTAATCACTTGTTTTCATGCATACTTGTGCAAAGATCCTCTGTTTATCTCACAAATACACACTGCATGGAGTTTGGGACCTGGGCCTATTTTTGTCTTTTACTTACTGCACCTAACACCCCTTTCTTTGTTATACTTTGGCATACCAAGTGCCAATAACACGTAGATTAACTTCTTACAAACTCGTTGTTCTGTTCACGTTTGGGATAGGGCTGAACGATAAACCGACTTTCAACCGGCGTCGCAAAGTAATAAAACGCACATTTGAAAACGTCCCTTTTATTTGATAGAAACGCTGCACCTCAGGACTGGACGTGGAAACTGAATCAAAAAGTTAACATGTTAATAAGACTTTGACTTATTGATTATTCTGCCAGATTTTAAAAGTAATTCATGATAAGATTACTTGTTACCATGGCTTACAGTAATTTCCTGCTGTGATTGATCGAAACATTGGTTTTAAAAAGGATTCCGCTAATTTTCCCGAATCGTTCAGCCCTAGTTTGGAGCACAATTTCTTTTTCACTTCACGGTGTATTCTTGAACCTCTCAAAATTTGCGTTGACGTTAAATTATTCACCAAACAATGACTGTGATTGCCCCTTCCCCTGTTACTCCTGTTGATACTCCTTAATCAGCTGAAGGAGCATTGGATTTCTCTGCTCCCCATGAGATGGCCATTCCTGTGAGCAAAACAATCCCACTGGAGAATCCTACAGAAACTTCTGATCCTGCCCAAGTGATAGCCTCCACAGAAGAAGCTAGCATTCAGACCAATGATGATAAAGCAAATGGTGTAGCTGCGACTCAAGACATCACTGAGCAAACTGAAGAGACTGGGTTGGTGGCCACACCTGTCACACAGGAAGAGGTGACTGCTGGACCAGCAGGGGCTTCAGCTGACATGCCAGTTCCAGAAGAATCTTTGCCTGCTGTCGAAGCGCCCATTGTTTCCGCAGAAGAGCCACCAGCTCTTGAAGAAGCAGTTCCAGCTAAAGAGGTACAAAGTCAAGAGTCTGCTGTTGCTACTGAAGAAACTGCCATCGAGGAGGTTGAAAAGATTTCTGTTGAAGCAAAGACCACTGAAGAGGAGCCCAGTGCAGCGGCACAAGAAATTCCTGATGTACCGAAACCATCTGTTACTGAAGATGTCGGTGCCAGCAGTGAAGATGCTCCACAGACTGAGGTTAAAAACTTGAGGAATCTTTGCCTGGACGCAGCTGAAGATGAAGTATTGCCTGCTGAAGTGACTGTCGACCCGCCTATCGTAAATGAAGATCTGGACAAGCAAGATCCTATTACTCTTCTCACCAAGGCCATTCAGTCAAATCAGCCCTCCAAATGTGACCACGTCCCATCTCTTTCCACTCGCCACCATTCAGGTTGGTTTATCCTAAAAAAACAGGCCCTCCCCTCTTTTTGTCAGTATTTTTTTTTTTGTATTAATCTTTCTGATCAGGGTGGGTTTATTCTTTCACAGATGGTAACATGAATGTGGCAGGTACAAAGGTATAATGCTCCTGCGTCCTCTTTTACAGTGGATTTTCTCTGGGTCCTTGTTTATTTAAAGTTGCATCTTTTTTGCCTCATCTGAAAATGTCGCTAATGCGGTAGTTTTTATTTACCTCTTATAACAAATGACTAGGTACTCCTTTGTTGGACGTAAGTCTTTTTTTCCTTATACAGTTTGTTAAATAGGTTGAGAGGAAATTATAAAATCTACTTATTTGAAATCTTACAATTAGGCCAGGTGTCGGTCAGTCCTACCTTAAAAAACTTGTTCATTGGTCCATTCTTTGGTGCGTTTATGCATTTGCTATGAGTGAGTGCTATTGTGATGTGGCAGTGTGATATGCATTGAAAGTATGGTTTTCTCTTTTTGCATCCTGACTAAATATATAATGTGCTCTCCTGTGTGGTACTAAGTACTGTGCATTTTGAGTTGTGGTTTTGCATCAGTCTGTTAGGCAGGCGTGTCCCTTTCCTAACCCTAAGCAAGGAGATTGCGTTTTGGTTTGATGAGTTAATCCGCATGAGTAAGTCTTTTTACCAGCAATATTTTTTAAAGAATTACTTTTCTATTCAGCTACACCTCCTTCCCAAGCTGCGACCCTGAAACCTCAGGCTGCTACTGGCCATGTAAAGCCCAAAGGCAAAGATGCCAAGAATCCGCAGGGTTCCTCTGCCCCAAAGTCTGTCCCTGGCAGAAGAAAACGCTCCTCTCTGTCTGCCTCCTCTCCCACCTCACCAAAATCTACTTCCTCCACTACTCCCCTGTCGCCCGTGCCATCGCCCCTAGCTGGCTCTCCTGGGGGCTCCTCTGCTAATCAGGCTAACCGCTTTACCCCAAAAGTTGTCAAGGCTGGCAAACAAGGAAGAGCTATGAAGGGAGAGGCATTTGTGCCTACTCCGGCCCCTGTAGAGTGCAAAGTCACCCCAGTTCTTGAAAAACCAGTAGAGGCTAGCCCCAAGCAAATGATAGTTGAAGCTGAACCTGCCCCAGCAGCTGCTGCAAAGCCTGTTGTATGCCCAGCTGCTTTCAAAGTTACCTCAAAGCCTGCTGTGGCACCCCCAGTTTCATTTTCAGAAGCTCTTGCCTCTAGCCCTCCTGCAGCTGTTGAGGTTAAGAAAGCTTTACCAAGCCCTGTCCCTAATTTTGCATCAACTGATGATCTCCCTCCACTTATCCCACCTGTGAAGCCAGTGACTGTGCCTATAACAGCCCCAGTGAAAATGGTTGAGGTTGCTAAAGAGGTATCTCCAAGCAAACCTGCTCCTGTTGAGGTTAAGCCAACTGCTAAACCCACACCTGCTCCCGTTGAGGTTGACATGCCTAAACCTGCTCCCATTGAGGTTAAGCCAGCAGCTAAGCGTAAACCTGCTCCTGTTGAGGTGCCCAAACCTGCTCATGTTGAGGTGCCCAAACCTGCTCATGTTGAGGTGCCCAAACCTGCTCCCATTGAGGTTAAGCCAGCAGCTAAGCGTAAACCTGCTCATGTTGAGGTGCCCAAACCTGCTCATGTTGAGGTGCCCAAACCTGCTCATGTTGACGTGCCCAAACCTTCTCATGTTAAGGTGCCCAAACCTGCTCATGTTAAGGTTGAGCCTGCAGCTGAGCTTAAACCTGCTCCCATTGAGGTGCCAAAACCTGTTCCTGTTATGTGTGAAAAGCCAGCAATGGTTGAGGTTAAGGCGGTGCCTACTGAGGTTGCCAAGCCTTCCACACCACAAGCTGATCCCTCATCTGCTCCCTTAAAACCTGCTCCAGTTCAGCCTTCCTTCCTTCAGCCAGTTCCTTCCCCAGCTCCCCATAAACTTTCATTTGCTGAGGCAGTTGCAAAACCTGCCCCTGTTAAACCTGTAGTTGAGCTAGTCACACCTTCTGAGCCCATCTCACCACCCAAAACAGCTAAAACCCCAGTCAAGGTGGAACCTGTGATCAAGAACAACAAGGGTATTTTCTTCTCTCTTTTTATGCCTGCTGTTTTTCCTGTCACTGTTTTGAGAACTGTACTGATGCTTAGGTCATTCTACTAAAGTCAAGGTTGTGAAGTAAATGTTAGCTTTGCTTTCGATTTTAATGAGTTAATTTAAGAAGCTTCCTACATGGATCATTTTATAGGAAAACAGTTATTTCTCTTGCATACTTTCAACGATGTTGTGTAGTTAAATGGTGTGGTCTAATAGTTTATATTTAGTTTGTGGAGATGTCTGGTGAATGTGATATGAAGATGGTATTGTTTTAAACAGAGTACACATTTGCTTATTTGCTGTGGTCACGGTGATCCTTTTGCATATTTATTGGTTATTTGAGTTTAATTTTTATTGAAAATGTTCCACATACTAGGTAGGTGTGGGTTTCTCTGGAGTACGAATAAACATATTTATAGTGTATTTTGAACAATTTTTAACATGCCCATTTCCCTTCTCCAGGATTGATGCAGCATATTTTCTTGCTAGTAAACATGTAATGGTTTGTTTGTTGTGACTTACAATTGTTTGTTGTTGGTGGTTGCTGTAGGATCCGGTACAGAGTCTGACAGCGATGACTCAGTCCCTGATCTGGAGGAACAGGACTCTGCACAGACACAGACACAGCAGGCTCAGGTGAGTTTAGTGTGGTCTTAAATATCCTGAAAGAATACTACAACCATGTCCACCACTTCCAAGGGATGTTATTTGCCCTTTACTCTTCAGTGATGATTTAATACAGTGACTTTCGTTCTTCTGAGCCTCCTGAAGACAACCTTTCTGTCCTGAGAAGAGATGGTGTTTGCACAATAACTGTGATTTAGTTAAATTCCCCAGATTTCCTGATCTACATAAACCTATTTTAAACCATTGTAAAATGTAGATGAATGTCATCTCTTACAGCTTGCAGCAGCAGCTGAAATAGACGAGGAACCTGTCAGCAAAGCCAAACAGAGCCGCAGTGAAAAGAAAGCACGAAAGGTAATTATCTTACACGGTTTCATTTACATCATTTGCACTGTTCTACTTACCTTGAAGCTCAGAATTGGACACATTTGTAATATGACTTGTATTTCTTGCAGGCAATGTCAAAGCTTGGTCTCAGGCAGGTAACGGGCGTCACCAGGGTCACTATTCGCAAGTCAAAGAACATCTTGTTTGTCATCACCAAACCAGACGTCTACAAGAGCCCTGCATCAGACACATACATCGTCTTCGGTGAAGCTAAGGTATGTAACCAAGATGAATGCGTACCACTGGGTCGGATCAAAATGTTACAAAAAGGCTCTCAAGTGAAGATGTTCTGAAATAAGGTTTCATTTTACTCTTTGTTCCCTAGATCGAAGATCTTTCCCAGCAGGCCCAGCTGGCTGCCGCAGAAAAGTTCAAGGTACAGGGAGAAGCAGTTTCAAACATCCAGGAAAACACACAGACGCCAACCGTACAGGAGGAGAGCGAAGAAGAAGAGGTGAGATACAGTTTAATACAAGGGAACTCTCGGAGAGGCAAACTCTTTTTTGTTATCATGTAACAAAACATTGCCCTTATTTTTCAAGGTGGATGAGACCGGAGTTGAGGTCAAGGACATCGAACTCGTTATGTCACAAGCCAACGTGTCGCGAGCGAAGGCTGTACGCGCTCTGAAAAACAACAACAATGACATCGTCAATGCTATTATGGTAAGATTTATACAACTATCTAATATTTGTAAAACAATTTGATTACTCAGGCCATTCTAAATGGTTTGCTCATAGTTCTGTAGATAAACGTGAACTCTTCAGTGATGATTTAATACAGTGACTTTCGTTCTTCTGAGTTTACTGAAGACACATTTCTGTCCTGAGAAGAGAAATATTCTTACAATTGTATTAAAACATAAATCAACACATGTTAATGAACCATTTTTGTTCCTTTCTTGCAGGAGTTGACAATGTAATGGGATCCTGGCACAAAAGGGTTAAAGAAAGGTTGCTGATTTGAGCTCGTTTATACAATTTATACCCAAGATGGAAATAAAGTTGTGGCTTGATAAAATGTAATTTTGATGTTTTTGTTCTTCATTGGGAATCGGGGCATTTGGTTGTAGCTGGGTTTCAGAAATGCTTCTTAATTTAGTTGAACCCAGAGAAGGGCAGAAAACCATGAATGAACAAGAGACTTAAAAACTCAATATTTAAATGTATAGTTCCCTGGGTCATGGGATATGAAAGAAAAAAGGTTATATATTGTTATGCTTTGGACTGTTTTCTAATATTTTGTGTGAAATATTATTTGACCTCTAAAATAGTACTAGGTGAGGCGTGTTCAGCAGAAAGCGAACTGCAACTTCACATTACTTTTTCAGAGTTCACAGAGGGACACCACAGGTTCTCAATGTGTCATATGATGTTTGTTTTTTCTCATTAAAATCTAAATCTGACCATTGGGAATTACAGCGTCAACTTCAGACTCAAGTGGAGTGACAATTACAGTGTTTCCCAGAATAAGTCCCTGTGTTCTTTATCTCATGTATGCAGATGACTTACAAAGTTGTCACGCTATTAAATTGATCAACAGGGGGCTGTAACGTCCAATGATGTTCAGCAATGTGCCAGAAAAGACAAAAGGAAGGCGGCAAGCTGGTAAACAAAGCTGGATTTAACATACAGTACCAACAAATAAAATGTGTTTACAAGAAAACGAATGGTATTTCTAAGTGTTTAACAAAATGTCAATATTTACTTCTCATCGCCATAAAACGGCTTTTTAACTCAAATCATGGCATGAATAATAAATACATTCCCTCGGTTATTATTGAAGGCGTAATCTGCCATAATGTCAGCTGCATTGTATGCCTCTAAAATAAAATAACTGATGCTCAGGATTCCATTTTGTATCATTATTCTGTGTTGAAGAGTCACTTGGTGAGACAATGTCCACCATTGGTGCAGCAAGACCAAAAATACCCCGACTTTATAGATCCTTCTGTTTATAGGGCCACTCACCCTTATGTCAGGGTTTCTTTCATTATAAATGTGTCACCCAAGTTACCAAGAATATTTATTAAGTATTAAGTTTAATACCAAGCTCTCAGCATGCCATTATAAAATTGTTACTCAATCTGAAAGAAAGCCTATAAACCTGTGTGTGGAGGGAGCTGGTAGCTTTCTCCTGCCACACCCTCACAATAATTGCCCTCTTAGGATGTGAAACGGGTATGCTATCTTTCATTCTGCCCTCATAAGATTGTTAAATGAGGTGGCATTCCTCACATTTTTAAACCAATGGATCATAGAGCCAAAACACTAACATGATATAGAGAGATATGCAAGTGTGGTGATGGTGTGAACTGAGATGGGTTAACAACATACATCTGGCAAAAAAGGGCGAGGTTTAAAGTCCCTCTTCATTGATATTCCTATTGTTGAATTTATTTATTTTTTACAATAACTGCTACACAGGTGCAAGAGTTGTTTCGATTAATGTAGTACATTTGCACCTATTTTATTAATCTTTGATGTTAATGTAATCACAAATCAAGATATTTGAATATGCTGATTAGAATGATCCCAATTGTTCATGAATTTAATAGACCTAATAATAGAATCGGCCGAATAAATTAATAGAAACGTTTCATTTAATTAAAAATGTTTTATGAACTCAGTTAAATAGTATTTTTGCATACTTTAATAAAAGAAGGAATGAAAATCTGACTTTTTACGATAAGTAACCTTTGGAAAAGAGACAGCCCTATCATTTTAATAAGCTCGTCACTATTATTAGTAGTAGTATTAGTAGTATTAGTACTAATAGTAGTAGTAGTAGTAGCTCTAGTAATAGGAGTATCAGTATCAGAGATGACGTTCACACGACTACTCAAATGTCGTAAAAGCAATATAGTCTATATTATATATTTCCTCTAACCAGAAATCCTCTATATCATCTCTCATGATTCAGTTTATTCGAGGCGATCCTACTGGGTGGCTCTAACTGAACCCATAGTAAATCACATTAGATCTGCTCCACACCCGATCACACGCGGCCTCAGCCGCAGCTGAACACTCTAGAAACGTCTAGTACGTTCCAACTGCGTCAGTGCGGCCATTCTTATCCCGGGATACGCAACAAGATCCGGAGTAGAGTCCACATCATACGAGAGGCGTTTGCATTACTTGTTAGTGTGCAGCATACATTCCCCTTCATTTGCAGGCATTGCTCTTCTTTTCCCGTGACTGTTTTATCTACGAACAAGAAGCGCACTTCACGTCGAGACATGTAAGTTGTGGAGAGTTAACACGAGGATGCTAAGTGCGATAGTACAACCTGCTGAGCTAGCTAGGTAGCTAATATTAGCCGCCTGACAACATGCTTGTGCAAAGGCGGGAGGTTGGCCTTGCCACAATGAATTGTAAGCTAACGGTAACTTGCTACCTAGCTTGAACCTCGTGGACTAAGTAAATTAACACAATGTACCATCGCAGTTATTATTGCAGACCCAGCATTAGCTGAAAAAAAATGCAGCTACTTGGGCAAGGTGCACCGCATGGCTTAACCAGCGTAGTGGCTAACGTCTGCCTTGTTAGCCTAGCTATCATTAGATTAGCATCAGGTTTTTTTTGATGATTAAAGCATTACAAAAAAAATCTGGGATCTGCATGTGAAAATCAAAGTTGACCATGTGGAGATATATCGGCCTAATTGCAAAGTTCTGAAAGGATTTAGCAACGTTTAATCAACATTTGTGTTTAAGGCTAGCTTCCACGCACTGAAATGGTTGGTCCGCGTTCGAGGATTTAGCTTATCATCCCGTTTAATGCCTATAGTACAATTGCATGGGCGAACGTGCAAAAGAGGAAATCCCTATCACTCCTGTAGTTAAATAAATAAATCACTAATAAACAAACTGCGTCGTTGATCAATGTTCTAACCACTGCCCTGTAGCATTACATCTCATTTAATAATGGGGGAACAATCACACATCTCATAATGCGTTCTGTTCTCTCAGTGTAGAAAGACGTTTTATAAGTAAGAAAGATCTCGGAATGTAATTCATTTGAGTTTAACTAATTATTACAGTTAGGACTTCATTAAATTCATTTTACATTATTATAGTTTTTGAGGCTACAAGGTGAAGATGTTTGCTTTAATCTTCACAATGTGCAGGAAAGGTTATGCTAAACACTTCCAAACGTTTCATTCATTAACTTTTCACATTTGAGCTGGCAGAGATGTTTAACTTTTGAGGCTTCGTGACACAGGAGCACACTGTAACTGGATGCTGCATGGCAACCTGATGCAAAGGCTTTTTGGTGCCTGAAGAATGACCCACCTGTCAGCAGCACATGTCACCTGTATGATGTATATTGTATGCAAGGTGTGGGTCGGATGAGCTCTACCTTTTTTAAATATATAACATATATGTTTTTTTCCGGAGCCCATTAACTTGTTTAAAGGCGCTCTGTTTCTGTTGATTTACAAGTGGTTGCTTAATTTGTGTAGATTATCAAGACTTCTTGCATGTTTTGATATCCTTCTTTTCTCCACAGGCATCCAGCAACTGCCAAGTGGTACGATAGGAGGGACTGCGTTTTTATAGAGTTCTGCGTTGCAGACAGCAAAGACCTTAAAATCGATTTTGATAAAACAAAGTGTGGTTTTAGGTAAGTTTGTCCCATGTGTGTTTTCAGTATATATTTGTATTTCCTGCTCACACATATGACTGCAGTACACAACAATCTAATAAACTCAAATAAATGAGTAAAAAACAACATTTCCACATCAAGAATGCAATGTGATGACAATTATTACTATGTTCCAAGTATAACAACTTCTTGGTAACATACACTTTGGCATTTCATGTCTGTACACAAATATCTGGCTGTGTGGTTTTGTTAGAGGAAAACGGGTAAGGTTGTCCGCCTAGTACTTATCGTAACGTTTAATATTTTATAAATCAATATAGGAATTTAATTTAAAGAAATTGCTACACAAAAAACTACAACCATGTCAAACACTTCCAAGGGATGTTATTTGCCCTTTACTCTTCAGTGATGATGTAATACAGTGACTTTCGTTCTTCTGAGCCTCCTGAAGCCAACCTTTCTGTCCTGAGAAGAGATGGTGTTTACACAATAACTAGGATTCAATAGAATTCATATTTACTTATCAACATAGAAATCTATTTAGTTTTACACAAAATAAGGCAATTTGTATTTAACCATGAGTTCCTTGTTGGATGTTTTGCTATTGGTTCTGCTTTTAATGCCTATATTTGATGCCATACCTCTGTTTTTATTTCCCCCATAATGACGTCTTGTCTCCCCCCCTCAGTTGTCTTGCAGGAACCGACGATGTCAGACATGAGAACGAAATGGACCTTTTTGAAGCTATCGATGAAAATGTAAGTTACTCTGAATCAATGCTTTGATAAATATGGCTTTGTAAAATGTAGATTGTGCCGATTGAAATGTACAAAATGAAACTGACCAAATATTTCTGTTTTCTTTCCACCCCAATGCAGGAATCCAAACATAAACGCACAGATCGCTCAGTGTTGTTATATCTAAAAAAGGCACAGCCAGGGAAGCCATGGCCGAGGCTAACAAAAGAGAAGGCTAAGGTGTGTATCATTCATTTGAAATGCTAATAGTTAACAACACAATGTACTAAATATATGCACAATATTTGAAAGTGATTAATGAAAAAACACTATTTTGTGTTTTTACAGCTGACTTGGCTCAGTGTCGACTTCAACAACTGGAAAGACTGGGAGGACGACTCAGATGAGGAGATGGGCAACTTTGATCAATTCTCAGATGTAAGCGCTGTCTATTGATCAGAACGAGTGAAGTCATTTATAAATGCCTCAATGAAGTCAATGTTTGACACACGAAAGAGCTTTCAAAATGTGTGACATCAGCTTTTAATATCAGAGAAACAAAAATTGAATAAGGAATTGCTTCAGTGTTGGTATGTTATTTGATAGTGTCCAATCATTTAGATACCATCATCTTTTGTAGGAAACAAAAAAGGAGATTGTTGCATCCTTACAATCCAAGTG